TAACTTAAATATCATAAACTTAAATGAATCATTTGACGTATCGTTGAAAAAAGTAGGTCTAGTGAGGGTTGGCAAAATAAATCGTAGCCACAAAAGAACCACATAGTAAAATAATATTAACATGAATATCAATTTCTTCTCAGGAGGGGAGACTATAGTGATAAGATCCTTTATATTTATTGAAATTATTGAATCTAAATGAGATAAATATCAAATGATTTGAAAATTTTTTTCTAACACAAAAAAAATGCAAAATATTAGTAGCTACAAGCGGTTTAAAACCTCATACCCTAGGCGTAAAAGATACAAGTGTTATTGATTTGGCAACTGTTCATTGCTACGTCGCACGATAAAATCAGCAATTTAAGCTAATTTAAATTTAAAAATTACTTTTTTGACTTTAAAAAAGCAAAAAAATTGACACGGCCCGCGTCGCTTCGTTATACACGATGCCCCGCGACTCGTGCCACCTTTATCAGCCGTCGCCCTACTATGAGTATTTGACTGACCAACACCGCGTGTTATACGCTACGGTGCAAAGTCCAGCAAATGCCGCACGGCCGACGACGACCCGCCGCAAATGGTGCGAGAGTCTTCCTCCCGCTGTGAAAGCGACAACGTCGACAGCCGAACCGCACCCGCGCACCGTCGCCTACAACGCTGCTAACCATTTTGCCGTCCAAGGATTACGCCGAACATCGCGTCGTCGACGCCAGCGAAAGTGCCGCGATATTATGCGAAGATTATTATTACTGTGTTTATCTTTTCGGTTTGTTTTATTTTTGTTAACATAATCTGTTGTCGCTCATTTAATAAACGGCCCACGGGTCTCTACCCTCAAAACCAGTGTCGACCACATTTTTGCGACGCAAGTCGTGTCAAAATTTAAATAAGTTTAATTTCTTATGTCTTATAAACTTTATTCTATGTCAATTAAATTATATAATATTCATGAAAGTCAGTTTATTCCCCTAATAAGATATTTTAAAATAAAATAAAATACAAAACCCAGAATTTTAATAAAAAAATAGCATATTTTTGAATACGGTAGCCTTTTGCGCATAGAAGATAGGTCGTCGGGACAAATTTTTTTTTTTAATTTAATAGTACATAAAATAAGCTTTAATTTGATATATGTTTAAAGGACGCAGTATTTCCGGAACATTTTCAAAAATTAAGTTGAAAAAGTTAGTTTTTGTAAAAAAGTTGCAATTTTAAATCCCCCCCCATGAGCAGGCTAAGTGTTAAATTTTCAAAAAAATTATATCAAATGAAAGAAAATTATCTAAGGTTTTAGTTTAAAAAAACATTATGTTGATTTGTTGATTTTTGAAAAAGCTATTGAAGTTTTAAGAAAAAAAAGTGAAAAAAATGACAAAATTTGTAGATTTTTAAATTTGTAACNTGAAAAAGTTATGGAAGTTTTAAGAAAAAAAAGTGAAAAAAATGACAAAATTTGTCGATTTTTAAATTTGTAATTTTTTTGGATATTTCTCCCATTTGCGGGGAACGAGGGAAAATTTTTAAATTTTTAAGGGTAATGTCTTCAACTAGATACAATTTGTGATCTTTTGACGTATTGTTAAAAGAAATCGGTCCAGTGAGAGCTGAGAAAAAGTAGTGACAGACACAAAAAAAAAAAATAAACACATCATGGTAAAATTAATACCTTCTCAGCTTCGCATCGAAGCTAAAAAATAATTTAAATGTACCCCTAAATTCATGTAAAAAGATCTTTGATATAATATATGTATTTAGGTTAAATACGAATATTTACGGGTGGCGACGATGACGTGTTACTTTCGTTATCTTCAGAGCTATCACTGATCATTGTTTCATTCCACTTGCTTAACTGTTGAGCCATTTGATCAACATGTTGATTTTTATAAATTAATGCTAATAATTCAATAATTAACATAGCCCATTGTCCACGATTTATATTTGCAATTAGATTAATGAGTATCTGTAATTACGTAATAAACTATTTTTTTTAATAATAATTAAATTAATTATTATAATTAATAATAATTTAATAGATAAGTGATTAAGATTCTATAATCCTATTCTATTGAGAGGAGAGATTATTCATAAGAATTTTGTTTATTACCCCTTCCATATTGCGTCTTTAAATCTAATTTTTTCACTTCTAGTTTATTAACCACTATTATTATTTTCTCTTAAACGTATCCTTATACATATATCCTATCATGACGATAAAAACATATTGAAAACGCCTCAAAGTGAAACCATTTTTAAAAAATTATATGACCTTATATTTTTTTTTTTATTGAAAACTTCATAATTTACACTTATTCAATTTGTATTATAATTATTATTTAATTCCCTGTAAAAATTAGTGATGTACTCATGACTGTTCCTTTGGGTGAGATTTTTTAGTGAAAAAATATGATAGTTTTAACAATAACATTAATGACATAAATTATTTATTAAAAATTTGCTTTATAAATACTATAATCAAAGTGATACATAATACCTATCACTTATGAAAACTTTGTTGAAATTTAGGCTTTAGTAATAATTTACTCATAGTAAGTAAACCGTTAGAACGTTTTTATTTTTTTTTTAAATAAAACTTAACCATTCCTGTAACTAGGTAGGGTTCGAAAACTTAAGTATACTTAGATTTTTCATTGGATTTTCATCAAAATTATATTAAAAGAAAACTAATTGTCATTAGTACTTATAAATTATTTTTTTGAGTGTTAAAAAGAAATAAAATAGAAAAGATTCTATATTTTAAAATATAGAAAAAAAATTGAAAATGTTTATATTACAGCATGGTAATTTTAAGATATTCTTTTAAATTTCAAAAATTGATAGTATTTTTCAAATTTTGGCAATGATAGGTACAACTAAATTAAAGTCAGTCCAGTTAGAACTGAGACTTTTCATAGACAGATATAAAAAACACAATAGTAAAACCAATACCCTCTCATCTTTGCATTGAAGCTTAAAATTTAAACAAATTGTCCGTCTTCATAATATATATGTTTTTTTAATTTGTTATTTTGAGTAAAATAAAACAACATGTTCATTACATAGTTATTAAAATAAACATACCTCATCAAATTTTTCAGAAAAAAGCATCCATAATATTTGATTTTGTGACTGATTGTTAGGCACGTGAAGTACGTTTTTTAACAATCGTAAGCAATCATCTATAACCTCAAAATAACTTGAATATACTTGGCTATTGTAAATCTATAACATATAATTTATATTATACATTTTCATAAAAAAAGTTATTATGAACGAGTATTTGAATGCTTGATTTGGATATATGCACAAATGCTAGTTCATTTCAAAGAGAAGAGTATATTAATAATTTTCAGAAGATAGATAATACCTAAGATAAATATTGACCAGTAGCGCAACTAGAAAAAATCCCTGGGGGGGTCCAAAATTATAACTCAAAAATGTAATCATAAATAATCATATTAATAATAATTTTTCTTTTTTTTGTGTAAATGTATAATAAATAATGTAAATAATAAAGTTAATTAATTAATTAATTTATAGAATAAAGTCCAAACGGCGCTTTGGAGTTGCTAAGCAATTTATTAATTCTTCGGTTTGTACATCTATATTGTAGTGTATATTAAGAGCAGCTAGACCATTCAATCTTGTCTCTGATGTCGAGTTTCTCAAATAAGTTTTGATATGTTTAGGCGAAGAAAATAATCTTTCAGCTTCGCAAGATGTAACGGGGAGTGTGACCAGTATTTGCAAAAGCTTAAATACATTTGGAAAAAATCTGGATTGCAATTATTTAAGATTTCGATAGAATTTTTTTATTGAATTTTACTGTCAACTAGATAACGATTCCACAATAAAACTTCTGATTTTACATGATCAAAATTGTCAACGTCATCGCCGTAAAATTCAACAAGTTCTCTGAGATTTTCTTCATTGAATGTTGAACACTTTACTAACATTTGAAATCCACTTATAATGTTTTTATGATTCATAAATCGATCATTAAGTTGTTGAATGAATGAATCAAGAAATGGAATAAATAAAGTTATTTTAAAATATTCTTCAGCATTATCTGTTGGAATATTCATGCGGTTTTGACGCATTGCTAATCTAGGAATTTTAATGGTAATTTCAAAATCATTTAATCTTAGAATAAGATCATTATACAATTTTTTGAATTCAAGAGTAACGTTTTCTCTTATAAACATTAATTGGTTCTTTACTAAACTTATGTGTTCCATAGCCTCCGATAAATCAATATTTTTGGTTTGTAAATATTTACATAGTGAATGAGAATATGGAAAAATATAATTCAGAATAGTTAGGGCCACGTTAAATTCTGATGCTTGAATAGCTAATAGAAGATGATTTGTTTTACTTGATGTATCACTATCGTTCCACAAAGTTATTTCTTCTAAACAATTTAAAATCGCAGGGAAAAATTCATAAAATGTTTCAATTGAGTTATAACGCTCAATCCACCTAGTAGGACATAATTTTTTCAATTTTTCTTTTGAAGATGAAGATTCATTTTTTTTTAATTCGTCTAAATATATTGAAAAAAACTGTTGTCTCTTCGGAGTGTTAAAAAAATTATAACACGCTTCTATTGTATTCAAAGTATTCCTTATTCCTTGAATATTACATGAATTTGAAACAGATAGATTAAGATTATGGGCACTACAATGCACATATAAAGCTTTTGGTTGTTATTTCTTAATTAAAGCTGCAACTCCATTAAATTTCCCACCCATGCTTGCCGCTCCATCATAACCTTGACTTTATAAATTTTTTACTTCGATATTTAATTCTTTTAACTCAGTAATTATATGGTTCGCTAAACTTTTTCCACTTACATCATATACCGGAACAAACTTCAAAAAATCTTCATGAATATTTTTGGTTTTACTATCATAATAACGAGCACATAAAGCAAACTGTTCAATACCCGATATATCAGCTGTTTCATCGACTATTATTAAAAAAAAATTACTTTCGTTAATTTGTTTTACAATTTTGGATGAAATAATTTCATAACAGATGCTAACAATTTCATTTTGTATTTTCCAACTTAGATATTGTGCATTTTTACTACAATTTTCTCTAGCCAATAAAAAACTTTCATCGCCGGATTTTGCAGTTGCCTTTAGGAAAAATATCAATAATGCCCGAAAATTACCTTCATTTATTAAGGGATCTTCAAGTTTAAGAACTCCAGAGTCACGGTGGCCTCTAAGTGCGATGCCTTGTCGTCCACATAGAAGCACCGATTCAATTACTGGAACGATAATTTTTCGATTGTTTTCTTTTTGAATTTTTTAATCTTTATTTAGTTGATGATAAACAGTGTCAGATTTTCCTGTAACGATTGCTGTAATTGATTGAAAATCGAGTATACAATTTGATGATAATTTGCTTTATCATGGTTATTAAACCTTTCTACAGCATGTTTCCATTTGTTAAAAGCTTCAGTGCAAAGTTGACCGAGCGGCTGACTACCCTTACCACCTTTTGGTTGAGAAAAAAAGCACACAATATTTACAATAAGCGCCATCTTTTACTTTACTATAGGCAAGCCAATTCCATTTTTCCAGCCAGCTATACTGAAATTTCAATAGTTTTTTTCCATGCTCAGTAGAAGGAAATGAAAAATTCTTACCTGGAATCCATATGTTTTCTAGAAAATTAGTTTTTTCAGCATCCGTTAATTTTTTACCGACATATATGCTAATATCAAAAATGCTATGATCAACCACGGCCTTTGTTTCTGTATTAGAAGTTTGATCATCGCTAGTGGTAAGTTTAGAATTTTTAGGATTCGATTCAGATGAATCTGATTTTTTAAAATAATCATTTATACGTTTCATAATTAAAAAAATAAATAACTATAAAAACAAATAACAAAATACTGTAAGGTTTCAGCCAAACAGAGGACCTACTAATTACCCACTGTCCAGGGGGAACACTGGACAATGACCTAGTAGCCGCGCCAAACAAGATAGTACTTGTTGACGGAGCTACTAGGTTTTTATAAAAATAAAAAAAAACAAATGTTAATAAAAATGAGGGAAAAGTATAGAGAAAAAAAAAGAGAGGCCATGTATAATATAACAACATTTTTTAATTATTTAATTAAAAATTTATAATTACGATTTTAAATATATATATATTCATAGGAAAAAACTATGAAAAGGAGAAGAAGAAAAAAGGAAGTGCTTGATACACAAAATTAGAAAGGGGGTAAAAAGGGGGGTTTATTGATGTTGTACTTGTTGTTGTTGATTGTTGATTGAGGAGTGACGGCCCACCACCGGCCATAGTTGTGTCTCACATCATCATCATCATCTCGACGTTTATTTTAACAAAAAAACGGAGGACAAAAAAATATGAACAGCCGGGTTGATGCCACAAGTAGACGGCAGGTCGACTCAACGTTTATTTTAATAAAAAAAACGGAGGACATGTGATGAGGCCGGTGATTGGGACGCCGGGTGGTGGTGGTGCCAACTTTGAACACGTTCATCGAGGGGACATAACAATATTGGTACAGGTGCACAGTGTACGGTCAGCTGATGACGATAGGATGACAGATATCGGACCTGTTGACTAGTGGAGGTTATCATATACAAAATTATTAAAATACTTTACACCTACTGCACACACATCTAATTGATAAGATTTATATATTAAAAAAAAAACTGATATAAATTCTGGAACATTACAATACAAAAGACGAAAGACGAAATACACGAGTTTATATTAACTGATTGCCGATAGGGTTTTGTGGAATTTTGGTTTGATAATAATAGGTTATATATTCTTGCAATGAACCATTGTCTTTTTTGAAATAAACGCAAACATGTTTTTGTCAATATATATCATCATAGTAGTTTGTTATATTTTATTAATCAATGATTACAGACCTTATACCACGGCTTCAATATAAGATAATGATTTGTTATCTGCTGCAAAGCAGACCCAGTTTAAACTATTATACTACAAAAATAAATAGTGTTTACTGTAAAATATAGTTTGATAAAAGCTAAAATTACCTACCCAATTTTTCACTTTAAAATGCTCAAGGGGGGTGGGGGGTCCGGACCCGGGACCAGTTATACATTAATTGTACAAATATGATAAATAATAAATTAACAGCTATTCAGTTAATTATAAGCAAAGAAGAAATGAAGGGTCAACGTTGGCATTTGACATCATAAGTGTAATAGGCTTTTTTTTAAGGTAATTAGTGGGGGCGAAAGGAACATAAAAAAGAGCAACAGATCGGGAATGACGTTGAGGAACTCTTAAACAGATTAATGAAAGCAAATAGGGAGAGTCAATATTACCTTGTAATAAACTATTTAGGAATTTAATACCCAAGATCCGTCTATGCTCAGCCAGCCCTAGTTGAGAAGCAACTGGTCCATAGTTGTGGGGTTCACAAGGGATATTTAATCTAAGACTAGCATATCTCATAAATTTATGCTGAACAAATGTTTGTGACAAGCAGCCCCTTAATATTAAAGGGGAATGGCCTGTTACTGTATAGTAGCGTTGTTTATTTTATAGCAAACAAAACGATAAATAAAGGAAAATAAGAGGGGGTAAAAAAATAGGTACACCTGCTTATGAATGTACAAAATACGCATCTATATATTACAGTTCTGCAAATTAAAAACTCTTAATAAATAAAGGGAAAGGGGGGTAACTTACATACTAGACTGACCGACAAAGCGGCTATGACCAAAATAGAAAATAAATAAAACAAACAATTAAACTTAGCTGTATAATTTAAGATGGTGATTAATGACAGTGAGTGTGAACTGTATGTGAGCGTTGATGACGACGTAAACGATGCCACTAACCCGTAATATGCGAGCAGGATTGTTTTACACGGATATACAGTACAAAACATGTACACAAAAAAAAACTCGTACGTCTGGAGTTTACCAAGTTAAGTTCGGCCAAGACGCAACCGTATGAGCAAAAACAATAAAGATATGGCGAACTATGGCCGATCAATAGCACAAACACGCGGAGGCGTTTGCTGTGAATATGAGAGAAGATAACGCACTACATAATTATAGAAGTACGACTATTGGATCTTAGAGACGTGAGAACGAGTGTACTGCATACGTACAAAAAAGGTTGTGACGCTCGCTGATAAAGTAACGACGGCCGGACGTAGCATGAATACGTTCGAACCGGTCATACACGAGTGCCAC